GCATTACCAAATAGCTTCTGATAATCTGGATTACAGGAAGAAACCTACTTCCCAATGTCACAAGACTATTGTTACAAAATGAACCCATTTATAGGGCAAACTGATGAGACCAACTTGAGTGACACCAAATGTCATGCACGCAGTCGGGGAAATTCTACATGTTACATGAGGGACTCGTTTCATGGGTCCTTTGCACATATCTTTTGGGTCATTTGTATTAGCCAACATCAATGCTCTATTTTCCTAATTTATTGCCACTGAGATACCTCCCTCAAAGCCGATCTACAATGATATATTTGATATATTGTAAGACATTTTATAAATGTCACAATGTATCTCCAACACAACAATAATAAAATAAATACTTTTTTAAAAAAGGTAATCTACATAGGTTCTTTTGCCCCTTAATCTTCATCATAGCCCATTGCACCAATCTCACATTTGGGATTTCCAAAATAAGACAACTAATACATTATTTTGCTATTCAGGAATGGATTTTCAGAGGACAAGTCTGATGTGTACCCTAGTTGTTAAGTGACTGTCAAAACAATCAGAAAAATGACAGGCAAAATTCCTTTCTAATAGATACTAAGAGGAAAGATGACTCAAGTTCTTTAAATTCCTTTTATTTTTTTTCTTCCAAGCAGTTTGTTTTTTTATTCATTTATTCACATGTGCATACATTGTTCGCATCATTGTTTGGGAATTTTTAAATTCCTTTTAAAAATACTTTTCTGTGGTGATTGTTGTCTTAATACCCTTTAAATACTTTCCAGTACATAAAGATACCAGCAAGAGTTACAAGGAGCTGTGTACTGGAATTTGATTGAAAAAAAAAAGACCAACTAGAAAATACTAGTTTGGGCCATATGAAATTTCTATTTCTGTAAATCAAAAACTATTGCATGTGTGCAATTGTTTCTGAAGTTTAACCTTAGAAAGAAAGGTTAGTAAGGTAGGCATTGGACAGGAACAATAGAAGCCATGTAAAGAATGAAAAAGCTGCAAATTCCATGAGCTTCAGGGAAAGAAGCGGGGACAGCACACAGAATGCAAATGTGTTTTTTTATAAAATGGCTGTAAGCAAGGTGAGGAAGCCAGCAAACAGGAAGACAGTCTCCTATATGTCTTAACAATCTCACTTGTGCATGAGATAGGGAAATCCATGCTCCTTTTATTGTTGAAATAGTGATTATACTGTAAGGGGAAAAGAACTCCAAGATAAGGGCGTAATAAACAAAGAGCAGCCAGCAGCTTGCTGGGGAAATGAGATGGGTGCTGGAGGACCGCCATTTTCCATTTTGTTGTTGTTGTTGATGCATTGTTTTTCCTCACAAGAATGGGTAGTTCTATAATAAAAGAAAAATGAATGTGTTCCTCTGGAACATGAAAACGTTCAACAATGAGAAAAAAAGAGAGAGATTTTAATTCTTTTTTATCTGAATAAGAGAGCTATAACTACCCCCAAAAAAGTTTGATATGAAAGTAAACTGTTCTGTGTGGTGCTGCAATTTTTGTTGTTGTTTTTGCATGATGTATTTGTATCCACCCCTCACCCAACTCAAGATCCGTGAAGTATAAACACATCTGTATCTGTCAAACATAACTTGGGCTTATAAAAGTCTGACCTCCTTAGTTCATGCAACAGTGGATTAAGAGTAAATCTGAGATCTCCTTTTGGACTATAGAACAAAGAATGTCAAGCTTATGCTAGAAATACCCTTATTTGTTATCTATCTTTACAGACAATGAGAAATAATTAAAATTTTTTAAATGAACATATTTAAGGACAAATAAATTTACAAACTCTTAGATTCTCTACATGAATTCATGTCACTGTAGGCTGTGCAATTAATGTCCCAAAGTGGTTAGAGACTGGAAGTAACCACTGATATTTGAAGAACCTCAGAGAACGAGGGCATTCAATATGTTGAGACAAGCAAATGCCATTCCAATCTTCAGGTTTCTGCAGGCCATGTGTCAAAGAACTTGATTTTGTCTCAGAGAAAAAAACAAAAAGATCCTACAATGGATTGTTCAAAGAATTCTTTGAAAATGCCTGGAAACAAAAGATAAGACCAGTGAGACCAAGTCATACAAGATATTAAACTTTTTATTTTTACTAGATTAGTTGAGAAATGAGATTCAGTAGAAAATGAATCTAAATCATCAGGGCAATTGAAAAGAATGCCCACAATATCTTATGAGCAGGACCAGAGGAGTGGCTCAAGTGGTAGAGCACCTGCCTAGCAAGCATGAGGCCATGAGTTCAAGCCCAGTACAGCCAAAAGAAAAGAAAAAAAAAAAGCAGATATATGGATTATGGGTTATTATTGAATTTAATGGCAATTAGCCAAGACCAGTTTCACTGCTAATGTCAGCATCCTATTTCATCCAATGCAAATGAGCACTTGACCCCAAATTCAAGCTGAGACCTGGAAAGGAAATGTACCAGAGGGGTAGTTAGGCAGACAGTGCGGGACAGATCCACTGTGCAGTCTTTTCGTAGGCACTCAGAGCATCTAGAGGTTGTTAGGAGGAGACACTGTAGTTAACATGGACTCCAAGTTTAGGGTCTCACCATTACTTCGCTCACCTCTTAGTTATGTACCTCTAACTCAGATCCTAAACGATAGCTACCTGGCTAAGCCACACATAGGTGGCTTATCTCTAACCCATAGAAACATAAGATAATAAACGTTCTTTTTTGGTCACTAGGCTTTGGGATAATTTGTCATGCAGCAATAGATAAGTAATATAATGAAACAGATCCATGCATCAAAATGCATAGCTCTCAGGTTTAGCCTGGAAGGAGAGGGTTGGGGGGAGGTGGCACAAGCAATTTATATACATGTAAGTAAATGTAAAAATGATAAAATAAAAGGATAAAAATGCATAGCTCTTAAAAGCAATAATGAAATAGAAAATAAATGGCATAATTTCACCTTACATATGGAAATCCTTAAGTTTGTAAACTCTAATACTAGATATTATTCAAACACTTTATAAATATTACAGGCTGCCTTAATTCTTATGTAATTAAAGTAACTGGAGGGACACGAAAAAATTATGATAGTGGTTCTATTTGAGATGAAGGGAAATGAGACAGAGAAGGGTACAAAAGGAACAATGGATAATGTTTTATTTCAATTATATGTTTTAAAGATCCAAAGTAGATATAAGAAAATGTCAATTCTGGGTTGTGAATGTCTGTCATTATTTTTCATGTTTTTTAAAATTCCTCCCACTTAAGATGTAAATGTAAATAAGGATTTCGTTGTAAGCATGTTCGGGCTGGGCAGAACATTGTTTATAATAGGAGGCTCAAAGGTTTTATGGGCAGGCAAGTTTTAGCAAACCTAAAAGGAGCAGATAAATGCTGTGTTACTTGAATTGCTGCCAAGAATGGGGAAAGATACAAATCTTCCCAACCCACATTTTATACCCAACACGTTTAAAACCTACAGTTTGCATGCTGCAGATAGCCAGGAAAAATGTTTGACAGTTAACTGAGAAGTCCGTAATTGGAAGAATAAGATGGATTTTCATAGGTCAAAAAACTATTACAAAATGAAATTTGAAATTCCAGGTATGAGAATTGAGGTATGAAAAAAAGGAATTATTTGAAATCCTAGATAGGCTGAGAATTTGGGTATGGATAAAGGAATGAGTTGAAGACATGTAAATTCTTAAATAATGTAACATTCAAAACATTGTTGAACATTCTGGGCAGTGCAGAGGCAAGGTGTATCCACTTCCTAGACTCTCGTGCCTTCTTCAACTTGAGGGAAATCTCTCCCTCTCTGCCTTCTCTTAACTTTCATTTTGGAACCTCAGCTGCAAATAATTGAGTATATACCTTATTTTATGAGATTATCATCTTTGATCCTTACAAGACACCTTTAAGAATTTTGGAGGAATGTATTCTCAGAAGCAGGATTTCTGAAGCATGGAACATGCATTTACAAAATGTACATAAATAAGTTCAGTTTTAAAGAAAAAAAAGCCATGCAATCCAAAAATACCACCAACAATACTGGAGGATTCCCATAAACTGATATTCCTACCAATTCTTGGCATTTTATAGCATAGGAGTCAGCAATCTGTGGCCCATGAATCAAATACTGTCCACAGCATGTTTTGGTAAATAAAATTTTATCAGAACTCAACCACATTCTTTTGCTTGCATATTATCTGTAGGTACTTTTATGATGCAATGATCCTCCAACCACAGCCTCCCCAACGCTAGGATTACAAGTATACCACCATGCCCAGCCCTCAGGTTACTTTAATCTATGTCTTTCTTGAACCATCTCTGTCTGTGGTTTCCCCAGTGTACTCAGTATGAGAAAACTGAGGCCACTCAACTCAAAAGAGCTTTTGGTGTTAAAAAGGTTGGAAGCTAAGGACCTGCTTCTTTTTACTCCCTTCCAGCTTGAGTATCTAAAGTTCTAGACCCCTGCTACCAATGCAGACCCACTGACTTTGAGGTCTCAAAGTCATTGTGTTCAAATGTGATCAATGGAAATCCAGATAAGGGTGTATGGAAAGGAACGAAAGCACTCTGCAAGTCTTATTCATTATATTGAATCACTCACATTTTTATTAGCAGTTAACAGCAAAGAAGTCTTCTGAAAGACTGGGCAGCATCAAAAGAAAGGAAGACTGGAGAGAAGGCTCTGCAGATGTGAAATGAATTGGCAACATTAGGAAATGCAAACTGTAGAGTAGACCATGCTTACTGACACATTATCCTTGGTTAAGAAGGACCTCTTCATGGCAGACAAGTTCTGTCATCAGCTCTTGGAGAGAATGTGGGGCTGGACTCCAGTAAAGTTAGAGAGTGGGTAGCCTTTGTGCTTGGTCAGAAGTAGGAACCCACAGGATGGCTGGTATTTCTGGATGGCAGAACACCCTTGGAGGAGGTGTGAAGAGTGCTCCCTTGGAAGCCTGGCCTTGCAGAAGCTGGGCTCACACCAGTGTTGTCAGGAAGTTGGCAATCAAGTGCTTGCTTTGCATAGACTGGGAGAAGTTGTTCGGTAGCAATTGGAGCCACCACTGGATGATTTGCCTACACCTGTCACACAGCAAGCTGGTTGGCAGGAAGGGGATTTGCAGTCACTTTGGGGGCAAGAAGTGGATCTGCCACAAGATGGTTGGCCAGAAAGCACAATGCCACAGGAGGCTGATTTGCAAAGGTTCTTCACAAAACAAGGAGACTGGCAGTGAGCCACAGGCTGGCAGATGAAGGCTGTAGGAAGATCTGGTTGGCAGTGAAGTGGCCGGCAAGGAGAGGGCATGCAGCAAGGAGGACTGCAAGAACTGAACACACAAGTCAATGGCTCGCAGGAAACTGACTGGCAAGGCTTGAAAATATAGCAGATGGGTTGATAATAAAGTGATTTGCAAGGCTGGCCTTCATTTCCAATGGGTTGACATGAACTGCCTTGGCAGCAGGCTGATTGGCATGGGCTAGCTGCACAGGTGACTGGTGGGCAAGATGTTTCAGCACAAGAAGTTACCTCAGAGCAGGATGGCTGGCAGAATCTAGAATCACAGCAGACTGGTTGGCTGCAAGCTGCCTGGCATGATCCAGATGTGCAGACAGGTTCCTGGCAGGAGCTTTGTTGACAAGAACTGGCGTCACAGCACTTTGTCTGACAATCACTGGATTCGAAGCAGGATAGCTGGGATGAGGCAACTGGACAAGAAGACTGACCAGTGCCAGATTCACAGCAGGCTCTCTGGGAGCTTATAGGTTGGCAAACAAAACCCACACAAGAAGTTTCTGGAAAGCAGGTAGATTGACAAGAAGAGGGTTCACAGCCACTTAGGGTACTTCTGGCTGGCCAACAGTTTTCTTGGGATGTAACCAGTTGCCATGTCTTGCTCTGGCAGGAACTAGGCAAACAGATAGTTTTTTGGAAGCTGCCACCATTTGGGCATATGGAGATAGTAGGCACGGCTGGAATGGTGGTGAGTTTTCCAGGACAACAGCTAGAGCTGTTGTCTACCATGGCGCTGGTGCTAACCTGACTGGAAAGTTGCAAACTCGGTCTATCAGAATTTAAAAGGCATCTAATACATGGGGGCATTTATAGTCCTTCACTAGGGGGTGTTGACACCATCTAGAGCATCTTTCCTTGTTATTGTTTTTAGTCATTTCCAAACAAACATTTGATTAGAAAGCTTCAGGAGCCTGGGAGATGCTTCCACTTAAAAAACATGTCTGTTAAGCTGGAAGTTTTCTTTGCTGAATTTAGATTCATTGATGCTGCTCTAGAATGAGGTGTCTCTTTTACAGGTTGTTCTGTGGCCTCACTAAGCAGCCCTGTCCTCACTACCCTCTCATCAAGAGGCCTCCACCAAGCCAAAGCTCCAGCTCTTCCTCCAGGAATGCAGCTCTGTGCCATTCACTCAGGAAGTGCAACTCTGACCCTATTGGGAGAGATGGTATTAAAGTTGGGGAACAGAAAATTGGACAGTGGATCCCAAGGACACTGAAGTATATCTCTTTCTAGAACCTTCACATTTGGCTTTCCAGATATTTAACATTAGAACTATCAGTAATAACTGCAATGCAATGGTTTAGTACATACTTACAGTATATACTAAGCCCTTGACTACAGTTTTCATTGATCCTTGAAATAACCTTAATTAGTAAGTATAATTGTCATCACTATGTCAGAAATGGCAAAACTAACCCAGAGTTTAAATCATATTTCCACAATTATGCATGTAATAAGGAGCATAAAAAAGATTCAAACCTTGCTTGACTGGCCCCAAAACTTCTTCTCTTAACCATTTATGAGACCTCCTAACTTTGGGGAGGTCAGGGAGGAGGACTTTACCCTAGTGAGGGAGGCTAATATTTGTACAGTAGCCTGCTGACTTCGGAGCAAGTTGCACAGCCTTGTGCTAGAGATCGTCTGCCGCTGCAATGACTGTAATCAAACTAATGGAATACTTATCTCTACTTAGGAATACACCCAAAGACAATCTTTTGATTTAAAAACTATAAATATTTCATTGAATAGGATTAAATTTATAATATGGAGTCAACAGCACATGAATTCTATAAATAAAAATGTACAATAAATACAAGTAGTATCAAGGACACCACTGCAAAGTAGTTTTAGAGTTGAATCTATTGCTTTCAAGAAGAAATCATAACCAGCTTTCTGTACCCTTCTCCTTTTTTCTTCTGGGCTTGTCCTGATTCTGCATCACCAGCCAACTTCAGCATCCCACATAGTCCTGACTTCAATCATGCTAAATGCTCACAATGGAATGGACAAAAATCATGCTTTTCAATGTCAGACAAAGCTGATCTTGATTGCTGGCTCTGCTATTAACTTACTCTATTGAAAATGTTAGCTAATTACTCATGTCTTCAAATTACCAAGATGTCATCAACTGTGCTGTTGTCTCTTGAGTTATTTTGCCTGCCTCACAAGTTATTGAAAATGCTGGCAATTCTGGGGGGTGCTTTACAAAGAATGAACTATAAAATACCTTTCTCTTGGCAGCCTCTTTGCCCTTGTTTTAACAGGAATAGAAACTTCTAATCAGAGCAGTGTCTGGAAAATATTCACCATTGTCATTAAAATGCCTTTTTTTCTACCATTGCTTTTTCTATCACACCAAGGATCACTTCTTGTGCCCTCCTTCACCTGATCATTTTTGAATTTTTTGAACTCCAGGGATCCATGCATGATGATGTTTTATTCCTGAATATTTGTGCCCTAAAGCTTTTCATCTCCCAAGGGGAAATACTTCTGGTATTACCAAATAGGTCAACCAAAATAGAAACATGACTATGCTTGAAAAACACATCAGCTTCAAACTGAAAAAAGTCTATACCTAGACATCATACCACTGCATTGGTTTAAAGCAATTCATTTTTATGAATTTTTCTTTAAGTAATTCTGGTCTCATTTCCTTCTCTCTTTCCCTCTCTCTCTCTCTCTCTCTCTTTCTTCTTCCTTTTCTTCTTCTTCCTCTTTTCCTCTCCCCATATATATTATATATACATATGTGTGTATGTGTATATTTATGTATATACATGAATGAATACCCATACATATGTGTGTACATTGCCTTTAAATCTTACATATATATATACGCATACATACATACATACATACATATGGTCTTCTAGGGCTCACTTATATCAACCAACATTAGTAAGGATCATCCATGTTGTTGCATATAGCCATTGTACTGCATATAATATTCTACTGTATGAATATACCACAACTTACTTGTCTGTTCATGGGTACTTGTCTGTTCTTAAGATGTTTCACCTTATAGATAGAGGAAAAAACAGGGGAGAAGAAATCTTACCTCACAGAATTGCTGTGAATTACATGAAACACTAAGTCCAGTATTTTGCACAAAGATTTAAGACCCTGGCCAACTCTTCTTCTAACTCTGGAAGGAGACAGAGATAAATACCAATGACCCACTGGTATAGTAACTCCTACACCAATATACAGAGTAAGTTTCACTTTTGACTTCCTCTCTCTGCCATTGTCTAATCTAATGCTTCTCAAATGGGAGGGTTTTTGTACTTCCAGGGGATGTTTGGCCATGTGTAACTGGTAGAAACCAAGAATTCTGTGTAACACTCTACAATGCCCAGATGTCCCCCACAACAATGAACTGAGCAATTCTAAATGGCAATAGTGACAAAGTTGAGAAGCTCTCGTCTATTCCCCCTTGTGTTTATGATGGTGGTTCAAGCTACATCCTAAAGACAAGATAACCTTCCATTCTGTGCACTAAGTATAGGAGGGAGTACTTTGAAGAGGCTCTGTATTTGCAGATTGTACGAGGATATTACGTATGGAGTGGATTTAAAGTATGTCTGTGAGAACCCAGAGAACATAAAGTTCTCCCACAAAAAGTCAAGGTTATTCGCCTTCCTCACTTTAACTATGACTCTTATTTGTTATTTTCATCCCACTTTGGACCTCAAATCTATTTGCTTCTTCCAGTGTTTCTATCCAGGACCATGTTCTGCCATTTAGTTTCCCAAACCAATGCCAGAAAGACTTTCCAAAACCCAGTGTTCATCAAGGCCCTGCCCTGCATACAGCAAACTGCTCCCTATGCCTTCACGTAAGCCCCACACCAAACCCAAACAGCTCTGCCTAGCACGCAGATCCAACATGACAGATCACTGTCTTCTAACTCACCTCAGGGCTCACCTCTCTTCTAAGGTCACATGCCCAAGCATCACCTAATGATCAGTTTGCACACAGCTCTGTTCATTTGTGCATGTTTTTCCTACTTAGAAAGGTCTTCCTTCCCTGTTTGTCCATAGTTAATTCCTACTTTTGCTGAAGGATACAGGCCCTTTGCTTAGCACAAAGGATTATAATAATTGTCTCACTGCCTATTTGTCACCCCACCAGAGAGTGAGCTCCTTGAGACTGGGGACTGAGACTTTTGTCCTTTCATTCCTAGAGCCTAACACATTCCCATCACCTACCTAAGAGCTATTTAATAATGCTGGATGAATGGATGATGGATGGCTGGATGGATGATGAATGGATGGGTGGGTGGATGGGTGGATGGATGAATGATGAATGGATGAATCTGCTCTCAGAGATAAAGTAAGTCTCTCATGAGATTATTACATTTACAGAAGAGCAAGGAGAATAGCATGTCACTTCAACTTAGCCACTTTTATTGAACAGTTAAGTAATCTCAGAGAAGTCTCCAAGGATCACAAGTGCATACTACAAGGGAGCCCATGCGTGAGGACAGAAATCATTTTGTGTCAAGAAAGAGACTAATGATGTGCCAAAGCAGCTCTTCTCAGCTTAATGGCAGCAGAAGACAAGAACCCATATGTTCCCTTCTCAGTGCCCAGGAGGCCTTCACTTGGACCATTAGGACACTGACATTTTCGATGAGTTCTTTGAAGCATAGGCAGGTGGCAGTTGGCAGTGCAGAAAGAACAAGAGTCTAGCTAAGTCACAATGAGCTTTGTGGAGGACAGTCCAGGTTTCTCTCTAGCTTGTGGATTTCTTTGCAGGAATTGGTGGGCTGAGGCCAGGTCAGTGGTCAGCAGGCTTGCTGGGAGCAGGCTTGCTGGGAGCAGGCTTGCTGGGAGCAGGTTTGCTGGCAGCAGGCTGGGGGGCTGCAGCTTCACAGGGGGTTGGACTGGTGGGTTTGGCCTCAGAGGGCTGGCAGGGAGTCTCCTGTGAGACCTCTGACTTGCAGGGGGTTGAGTCGGCGCAATCAGATTGGCTGGAGGTGGACTTTTTGCAGTCTTTCTTACAGGCATCAGAATCAGAGCAAGGCAGGCGGGAACAGACTGGGCGGTAGGAGTAGGAAGTGAAGCAGGTGGGGCGGCGGCGTAGGATGGAATAACAGGAGCGGTAGCAGGCAGGACGGTAAGAGATGGATGTCAGGTACGGCTGCCTGTAGGTGACGGGCCCTGAGCAGATGGGACGGCAGATTGGGCGGCAAATGGTGCGGTAGGAAACAGGACTGCAAGGCTCTTTGCAGGAACTGGGTATGTAGAAAGTTCTAGGAGGGCAAGCTGGTTGGCAGATGGCAGAAGCAGATGACCCAGGGCGGCAGCAGAGAGGTTGGTAGGAAGTAGATGGACAGGAAACAGGTTCACCACAGACAGAACTACAGCGCTTGACTACATAGCAGGAAGGTTGACATGGATTGGGCACACAGACAGATGGTGGACAAGGGCTGGGCTCAGAGCAGACAGGTTGGCAGATACTGGAGACACAGCAGGGAGACTCTTGGCTAGAGTCAGAGGGTTGCTCACAAGGGCTTGGAACACAGCAGACAGGACGGAGACAAACAGGCTCACAGACCAGAGCCATGCAGGTAGCTGGCTGACAAACACTGGTCTCTGAGCAAGGTGGCTCACAGGGACTGGAATCACAGCAGATGGGTTGGCAGCTATTGGCTGCAGAGTAGACAGACGGACAGCAACTAGGTGTCGGACATACTGGCTGACAACAAGCAGGCTCACAGACCACAGGCTCACAAACCACAGGCTCACAGACCATGGGCTCACAGATCAGTGGTTGGCAGGAGCTAGGTACAGTGCAAACGGTTGAACAGCAGCTGGGCTCACAGATGACTGACTGGCAGCAACTGGGTTTGCAGAGGACAGACTGGCAGGATGTGGGCACACAGAGGACTGGCTGGCAGGGAGAGGTCTCACGGCACACAGGCTGGTAGCAACTGCTCGTGGAACAGGAAGGCTCACAAATGGTGGCCTCCAGGCACACGGGTTGAGCACAGCTGCTTGCAGAACAGGAAGGCTCACAAACGGTGGGCTCACAGCACACAGGTTGACAACAACTGCTTGCAGAACAAGAAGGCTGACAGCTTTGTGAACCACAGCCAGATGACCCACAGCTATCTTCACAAGTCACCAGCTGCCATGTCTGGCTTTGGCAGGAACTGGGCAAGTAGATGGGTCCTCCGCAGCTCACATCGGTGGAGCAGAGAGAGATGGCTGGCAGGGAGGGACATTTCCTAGAGCAGCAGCTGCCAGACATGGTGGAGGTGTCTCTGCTTCCTTGTGAGTGCTGAGAGGTAGCTGCCTGACTGTGATAACTCTCCAAGGCCCTCACTTTTATACCCCTTCACTGGTGCGTGCTGTTTTGGGCCTCTGCATCTTTTCCTTGTTACTGTTTGGGCCAATTTGCAGAGAAACATCTTATTATATCAATGTTTGTTGATCTAGATGTTATTTATCTACCCATAAAGAACATGCTTATTTATTGACTTGCTAAATTTGGACTCAAAGCTACAAGTAGTCTTGAAATAAGCATCCTCACCTGCACACTGGATGATCTCTATTTCCTAGCATCATGAACAGGGAAAGAAGACAAAAATTTACAATACCCACCTTCTTCTCTTCCATCATAAGCACTGGGTTGGACACGGAGGATATCCCCATGAATCAGATCCACTCACCAGCTCTCATGGATCTCACTCTATAGTGGGCAGACAAACATGTAAACAAACTTGCTGCCCCACAGTGATAAGCTCCACAAAGACACACAGAGAGGAGTAGAGAGAAGTGGTAATGAATTTGGTCAGGGAGGGGACATGTAGGCTTCATTTTCAACCTTCCAGTAATGATCTGATATAAAACCATCAGCAGTCCCATAGGCAGAGATTATTCTCCACATTACAGATGGAGAATTGGGACCAAAGGATCAGTATGCTGAAGATCATACATAGCCCACCCCCAACGTAGAGCTGCTCTCCTGTCTCCTCAGGAACCTGTGTGGACTGACCTTTCTTTAGAGACTTCATCAAAGTCGCATGTCATGGGCTTAGCCCATGATGCTGCTTTCCATCCTGCTTCATGAGCAGCCCTACCCTGGACCATTAGCTTCACCTGTCCCCAGAAAGCTCTAGATCCAGTCACTTTGTTTCTCCTCCTTCCTTCCTTCTACCCAGGCCCACCCCCAGCATTCAGTAGACCTCCAGGGTCCTCCTTGCCTTTGGAGATTTTGACAGCTTCTAAAAGAAAGATGCCTCCAAGATGGAAGGACAGATAAGGTGAGAAATAAACCCTGGGTTTTCAAACACAAAAATTTGATGTTCTTGCTCAAGATAGGGCTTATCTTGTCTCTACTATGTGTTTTCATCATCAGTGCAAAAGACAGGCTGTCCCTTGGAAAGACTGAGTCATTGTGCCATCCATTCATCCCTCCCTTCTTCCATTAATGAAGTGCAACCATTCACCATTCAACTTAGCCAACACTGGGTTCTGTGTGCAAGATACAAAAAGAATGTGCTGTAATTTCAGCCACAAGGAGCACAAGTTTAGAAAAGAGATTTACATATCCATATGCAATTGTGGTACGTCATTACACATGCTGTATCAGAGGGATGCATGGGTGCTTTAGGGGCACCAGGAGAGAAACTAACAGTGGTGGAGAAGTTAGGAAAACTTCTCCACCACTTCTCAAGTACTATGATGACTGAGTTGAATCCTCAAGGGAAAAGGATGGAAGAGTGGTAAGGACAGGAAAAGGACAAGCTGTGGAAACCAAGGACACAAGAGCAGGATACACTTGGGAGGAGCAAATAGTTCAACACAGCCAGGATGAAATGCCTTGTGGAACATGAGTAAGAAGTTGGATTTTAAAGTGGCACCTAGAGGCTTAAGCAGGGAAGGAATTTGATCAGGTTTGCTCTTTGGAAAGATTTCCCTGGCTATGGAGAAGGGAAGAAGGAGGCGAATCTCCAGGCAGGGAAACCATCAAGGGATTGGAGCAATTATCCCAAAGCTTCATTGTGACAACTGGAACCTGGTAGTGCTTTTGAGTTAAGGAAATATGAGAGCTTTTAAAAAAGTAAAAGTCTTCAAATCTTAGTGTTGAAAAAAGATGGCACCCAAGCAGTGGGAGAAAGAACTTTTGGACAGCTATGCAGAGAGTAAGGCAGAGCTTGACAGCTCCCTGCCATTTCTGACACCTTTCCTCTCCATCTACTTCTCTTCCTCAACTAAACCTGGGATGGAATTCCAGATGGAGATGGATCTTCCCTCACCAAATCCCTCATAAACTCTCTGTTGAGAAACCAACAAAGCATTTCTGGAGAGTCGTTTCCTCAAAGAATTCTTCCCTGCTGAATGAAATATCAGCTCTTCTAACTTTGTAAGCCATTTTATTTGATTCTTCTTTGTAGCTCTTGTCACTATCACTCCTTAACATCATACAGGAACCATAAAGGCAAGGACTTTGTCCATTCACTGATCTTCAGCCAGCACCCAGAGCAGTGTTTGATACATAGGAGGAGCACAATTAATATTTATTGAATGAACAAATGAGAACCTCTGTGGATAACTAAGGGCAACCGTTGTTGGTAGTTCCAAGAAATCACTACCTCTACTCATGCATCTGGGCAACACGACCATGAGCAATAGGATAATGGCTGCTCTGAATCACAACTACTCAATGAAGACCTCTTAGCAGGTTTGTCCCACTAACAATGCGCCTGTCTAGCTGTGGGTTTGTTCTGAGGATTAAAAAGTCAATTCCTAGGAAGCCAATTCCAATCAGTGCAAAAATCACTTAAAATAATAGAGTCTGAAACTAAACCAGGGCAGAGTCAAGTCTCACATTTTCTCCAAAAGCACATTATACTAACACCAATGGATATTTAAATAAAACCAAAAATTAAAAGCACTGTGAGCACAATTTGGTACTTTCTTACATAGTTAAACATTCATTTACCATTCACCTAGCAATCCAACTAACTTCCAGTTATTTACCCAAAATAAAGAAAATGTGTGTTCACTTGTACATGACTGTTCACAGAAGCTTTATTCATAATAGTCAAAAACTTGAAACAACCCAAATATCCATCAATGGGTGAAACCATTTTAATGTAGTTTAACCATACAATGGAATACTTCTCAACAAAAAGGAATAAACTATTGATGCTACGACAACATGAATAAATATGGAAATGTCACATTAAGTAAAAAAAAGTGTTCACATTGTATGATTTCTTTTTTAGGAAAAAATAAAGAAATAGTAATGCTTCTAGTGACATAAAAAGTAGACTGATAATTGGTAGGGGCTGGGGTTAGGGAATTAATGCAAAAGGGAAGTGGAGAATTTGGGAGAATGATAGAAAGTTCCATGCATTGAGTGCAGTGGTGGTAACATAAGTTATAGTAAAAACAATTGTCAGATCTCATCAAATTGTACAATTTATTATATATAAATTATAGCTCAATAAAATTGATTTATAAAAAATAAAAGAGAAAAAAATTTAAATGCAAAAAAGTAAAAGTAGAATAATCTCAAATTCATTTGTAAATATGCTTGCAAAAGATTCTGGAAAGAGCCAGGCACCAACGGCTCACATGTGTAATCTTAGCTACTTGGGCGGTTGAGATTGGGAGGATCTCAGTTAGAGACTAGCCTGGGCAAATAGCTTGAAAGACCCTGCCTCTAAAATAACCAGACTGGAGATGTGGCTCAAGCAGTAGAGCACCTGCTTCGCAAGGTTGAAACCCTGAATTCAAATCCCAGTCTCACCCAAAAAAAGAAGTCTCTGGAAAGATATATATCAGTAATAAACACTGAGCATTCAAGAGTCTGTAGTTTCTTCTTCATAGTCTTCTATATTTTCATATTTTTAGGAATCATTGATATGCTTATATTAGAAAAAAAATATTTTTGCTTATCTGTTTGCCAATGAACATTTGCTTTGTAGGAGTAAAAGTAAATGGTGGTCTCCCAGGGCAAGAGCATAATTACTTTTATTCACTTGTGCCTGAAGCCACTTTCAGCAAGAGAAGGAATCAACTACCTTTTGAATTCTAACTTCCCAGCTGGGTCACACACCTGGGTCAGGCCCTGCCTAACAGATGTGTACTCACTGCCTTCCCCCAAGCAGAACATAAGGCTGGAGGAAGTAACTGGACTGGCCAGAACTGCCCTAAAACCTGTGCATTGACACAGCCTGGCCACAGGAATCCCTGCCATTCAGAACCAAGCTTGTTTAACCAAAGCCTCCTCCCCTGACTGCCAGAAAGTTCTGACCAAGCCTGAAGCCTCTTGCAGAACTGTCCTATGAGAACTGTAGCACACAGAAAGTCAGACTCCTTGATCAAGATTAAATTTGGCCAGCCTCACCATTTGCCATGAGCTTTTAAAAAAAAAGTTAGGTCCTGGAGCACCCTATGGTGTAGAACCAATGAATACAGGACAAATGGTGAAACCCAGGGATTTGTATTCTTCAAAGTCTCCACAAGTGAATCTCACGCAGCTCACAGAAGCCTCCATTTAGTCTCAAACCTCAATGCAAAGAATTATCTGAGACTCTTGATTAAAAACACAGATCCCCAGGCTATATCCTTGCAGATTCTGGGAGGGGGCTAGAATCTCCAGTTTTAATTAAAGCCCCCCTGGTGATTCTGCTGCATTGCAAAAACAAACCCTGGTGTGGATGCCAGAGTACATTTTCCTAACCTAGTCCCAAGGGAAGAGTGAAGGAAGAGGCAGGAGGACTGATTAGGGTATGCCAGCACGCTCGAATTTATTAAGAGGTTTATTAACAAAGTTTCAAAAGCAGCAGAAAGCTGGGGAGGAGGTCAGTCGCAAAGACACTTGAATAACAGGATGCCTTATGGTGACAAGGCATTTCACTTCATGCAAATAAAGCCATGGGGACTCACCCTTCGAACTTGGGGATCACTTCATTGCCCCCCCGACCCCAGCTTTAATTTCTCTCCAGGAAATGGGTGCCTGCTTGTTCTCAGTGCCTTGAAACACCAGGGCAGGCGATGGAAAACAAGCCTTCCTCTCCAAATAACATGAGAGGTAGGACACTGTCTTGGGGGGTGGAGGAAGTTCTGGAAATCTGAGGGTCTCCAACTGAAACAGGGAGAGGCTTCCCCTACAGAGCCTCGGCCGTCCAAAGAGAGGTCTTCATTTGGTGTCGCATACCGGTGCGGGCTGGCAGCACACAGGGCCGCAGCACCCGTTGTTGCCGCAGCACCCGTTGTTGCCACAACAGGGGCCACAGCAGCCGCCTCCACAGCAGCCCCCGGATCCCCCGGCGCCCCCGCAGCCCTGGCAGCCCCCGCAGCAGCCTCCTCCTCCTCCACAATCAGTGGTGTTACTGCAGCAGGCACAGCAGGCAGCACAGCAGCCGCAGCAGCCACAGCAGCCATTGGGCTGGCAGCAGCCATTGGGCTGGCAGCAGCAATCCTCACTGCAGCAGCCTTGGTCCTGGGCGCAGCAGTTGAAGCAGTCCCCCATGGTCCCAGCCGGTCAGGTCGCAGGTCAGTAACGCGGCCGAAGTTCCCCCAAGTCTGACGGTAGCCGGCAGGACAGCAGCTTTTATATCCCCTTACCCAGGGGTGTTGGCACAAGACACAGGATGTTTGCTTTGTTATTATTTATGCCAGTTTCCATAAGAACGTCTCATTAACTGGCTGTTTATTTTTCAGCCCTGAGTACCTCAACTCATAAAAAGCCCCACTCGGCCCAACTGCTATTTGTCCAGAGGGTAAAAATACATCTGGGAAAAGACCTGTCATTAGGTTGAAGAGAGGAAGGGGAAGCTGGCCACAGACTCTGTTCTGGAATGGGAGCTCTTCTTCCACATTTTCTCTGATGGCAAGAGAAGATTTCTCCACTTGGCAGTGGACGCCTTCTTCATGATTGCAAGTCCTAGGAAACTAGAACAGCAAAAGCTGGGTGCCAGTGTTCCACCTACCAGGGCAGAGACTGTGGCACTCTCCCAGGTGGAAATGGCACCCTGTACCCAGCCATGTGAACAAGGCAAATATTTATGTCTGTGTGTGGTATGTGCAGTGTGCTGCACATTTGTTTGGGCTTGGCAGGTGAGCATCAATCACGAGTAATAACTGACTTGTGAAATGGAGAAAGACTCATCATAAAACTGCCAAAGGTTGGGGAGCCACATTCTCTCTCTCGGCTGCATGGTGAACAGAAAACTCACACTTCTCTCTAAGTGGGCAGGAAGAATAGTGGTCAGTATCTACTACTTCCACCCCCAGGCTGTTGTCTGATGGAAGAAGGAGATGAGGGAGGAAGGAAGGGGGAGAGAGGGAGGGAAGGAAATGATCTCTGAACATGCAAAACATTGAATTAAAATGGGAATGGTGTATATTTTTTAAGAGCTCCAGAATGTCATCTCAATTAATAAAATGCCTTTGGAAAGAGACTAAAGAAGATTAAGGTCCATATGTAAATTCTGAGAAAAGTCAAAATTTCTGTCTGCATTTTGAGCCTTTGTACCTTGTTATCCTCTTAGAATGTTAACAGGCTCAGCCCTCTTGAATACAACACCCAATAGTGGTGAAGGTGGGGGAATGGAAGGTGAGATGTGGATGGAAATCTAGATCCAAGGACATGCCGCTCCTCTTGTGTCCCCTTTCCTTGTGAGATGGGATAAAAAGATTGAGGAAATGGGCAAGTGAATGACCAATGGGTTACTTGGATCCAGTAAAACAACCAGCACTTACTTGCAGATGTGGAATTTTTAGAGAACATTGGGAAGAACTCCTGAATGATCATCTGGGCCAAAGTTTCTAAACCTAATTTTACATCAGAATTGCTATAAGCGGTGGCTTTTGAAAAAATACAAATTTTTCTGAATAAGTCCCTTGTTAAACCAGAATATGTGCTCATGAGCACTCTGGGAGCTGCATAGTTTAAAGTTTAAAGTTTCTAAGGACCATCAAATTGACCATCCCCCCACCAAGCAGTTGTAGTTTACCAATGACGATACGAAGGCCCAGAGAGGACATATTAGACCATAACCAAATGTTCTCTTTGCTGATCCAGTGTTCCTTACACAATATCATGTCCGCAGATGGGCACCTCTGGAGGGTACAATGCAGATATGTCCACAAAAGAGACATCTTTTTCTCGATAGGGAATGCAATCATAGGGTGCTATGGTTTGGACAAGGTTTGTGTGTGTCTCCCAAGGGCTCAGGGGCTGGGAGCTTGGTCTTCAGTGTGGTGTCACCAAACACATTGGATTTGCATCTTAGCAAGTATAAAACCAGGAAGCACAGACAGGTGGTAAAAAGAGTGAAGAAAGGTTTATTACATGTGGCAGGTAAGGAGAGCACTGGGGTTATTTCTATAGCAATGATCTTCCCCAAGGAAAGGAAGCATGGGGATTTTATTCAGGGAGCCTATACATATTCATGCAGGAAAGCACATTAGTGGTGGCACATTCCTAAGCATGCTCAGTTCAAGGTGTGCATTTCTGAGTATGCTCAGTTTAAGGTCATAGCTCAAGAAGGAAAGATGACAGATACATTCCTGGGGATAAAAAGCTGAAAATCAGAGTATCATGCTCAATAAGAGAAGATGCCAGCCAGGACATGTCTGAGCGTGCTCAGTTCAGGTCATAGAGCACATGTTTGAAAGGAAAAGATGGTGGATATTACGGTTTCTGGGGGTGCTCAGTTCAATATTATAATGAGCAGAGTTTACTCAAGGTCACCTAAAAGAATAAGTCATCGTGGCTCAGTGACTTTGGCTGGTTCTCTAACAGTTTCCCCTGAAAAGTCTTAGCTGAAAAGATAACTCGGAAGGTGCAGGAGTTCACTCCTAAAAGTGCCTGCCTTCCTTAGAGACTAACAATGGGACCTTTAAGAAGTGAGGTCTCATGAGAGGTCCTCATGAGAGTCATGGGGCACTGCCCTCAGAAGGAAACGCTAGTCTCCTGGAGGATTCTGTCCAGAGCTAGTTCTTATCAAAAGCCTAAGCCTGAAATATGAATTGCCCTCTGACTTCCTTCTGGCAATGGAATCTCCCCTCTCACAAGTCCTCCTGTCATTTCTGATGCTGTTCCACCTGGAGGCCTTCACCATTGCTGAGCTGACTCTGGCATCATGCCCTTGAACTTGAGCTAAGTAAACATCTCTTTATATGGTTACCCAGTTTCAGATATTTTGTTCTAACAACAATAAACTAATACACAGGATAAAAGATAAGAAAAAGGATGCAAGGAACAGTCTTCTTCATCTTCCTATCCCATAATTCAGTGCTCGTTCCTCTCACCTCCCCCCCTCTGATCCCAGAATTATTTGGCCCCTCTGTGCTCCTACTTCCTTATCTATAAACTGGAAGTTATGATAATAATAGTATCAATATCATAGAGCTGTTGTGATTAAGTGAGTGGACATATATACATACAGAATACATAGAACAATGATTGGCCGCGTGTAGTTTGATAAACATTAGCTGTTATAAATACACAAGAAAATACATACCTATAGTTATATTTTTGTTCATTACTGAATGGTAGCAAGTATATATAACTGATTTTTCCCAGAAAAAGGATTTTTAAAATGCAAATAGAAAAACAGATGGGGATCTCCAGCCTGGAACAAATAATAGCTACTCTGCACCACAGAACAGGAGAGAAGGTGAATCTCAACAGTCAACATGGGACACCCCCCTCCCTCTGCTGCAGCATCCTAGGGGCAGGGTCCCACTTCTCTGTGACTGGGGTCATTCAGCCTCTGTACTCCAGCCTCCCATACCTATGAAGACTGTCTTGAGAAGAGAATGGAACAGAAAAGGGGGAAGTGATGAGGATGTACACGTGGTACAGGTAGCAGCTGCAGTGACAGATGTCTAAGAATGAAGCATTGAACAAAAAACCAGCACAAATGTTCAGAGGTAATTTGTGATCAGAGGAAAGACAGAACCAGACCTTGGATGGGGGCACTGGAGGTGGGGAGTTGGAGTGGTAGCAGTGATCAGGATGGCTGCTTGTTTTTAGTGTCTTTTTGAGAAAGAGAGAAACAGGTCTGGAGGGGAAGCCAGTAGGATTGAGTGAGCAAACTCTGCCCACTTTAGGTGTTCACAAGGAACCTGAGCCCCTGAACCTCACCTGGACAAAAGGGGATTCAACATCTCTATCACTGCAACAGCTTTTACTCAGCTCCCAGGTGAAGGCAAAATGGGCTGGGGCCTCTGCGAGGAGAGGTAAGGGACTCAACCCCCTCCTGCCTTCTTGTACCCCAAAAGGGGGCTATCTGCCTAAGGCAGGAACTAGGAAAAGAATAAAAGTGGAGTGAGCTCACCTAGTAACAGACACAGGTTGGCCGGGGCTATAGGACCAAGTATCCCTCCATTGGTCACAGCTGCTGCTGCCAGTTCAGAGGAATGGGCCTGTCAGAATGAGATGGGCCTCCAGCTCCTTGTCCCAGCCCAATTTTTTTTTTTTGAGGTAGGGTCTTGCTAACTTTTGCCTGAGCTGGTTTCTGGCTGAGATCCTCCTATCTCCAGCTCCCAAGTAGCTGGGATTACAGGTATGCATGCCCATGGCTGTCCTCTTAAGCCCCTTTTAAGCCAAGGGAGCCTTGGTCCTTTATGGGATGCCAAAGAGGAGAATGGAGGAATAGAGAAGGCTTCAAACCAAGACCCCAAAGAATAATGTCCCTAAGCTAAGGGAATGGATATACATCAAACACAGAATGCGGGAAGGCAAGTATGCAAGAGGGGTCATGATAACAGACCTAGAAGGCCCTGGGCTGCTGGTTGTTCTGTGGGGCAGTGGACAGGAGGAAGGTGGGACACAGTAGGTAGTGGGCCAGGAGGCAGTGGTGACATGTGGGCCTGGGAGAAGGGGTAGAACAGGGAAAACAATGCAAATTGTCCAGTCCCACAAGGAACCTGCTTCTGCAGTGAGACAGCAAATACAGGCCAGTTGCCACTGCCTGTATTTCCAGGCAGCACCTAGTATTTGTTTCTCTTTGGCGAGCCCAGAATTCTGTTAGGTGTTGGCCTTTCAGCAGGTTTCTTGTCATCCCCACCTGAAGTCCTTTTCCTCTCAGGTGACCAAGGGCTGACTGGACCTGGAACTTGACTCATTCATCTTTTCTTTTCACCTACCTGGTTGGTGGAAGCACCCGCTGGGAGAAGCAAGCTGGGCCCTCAGGCTGCAGTGCTGGTGAGCATCAGCTGTACAGGGGACAGGCCCACACAGGTTGCAGAACAGCAGAAGCCATTTTGACGTCACACCATGGCCAGAAAGAACTGAGCTGTGCATTTCAGTAGAGAACTATACACACTGCTATTAATGCTGGTCCCCAACCCCCATCCCTTATTCATATCAGTGCATAAAGTTCTTCATAGCATTGAATTGTACTAGTAATTTATATTTAACCAATTCTCCATTGAAGGGCTTTTAAGTTGCCCCTAATATGCCTAGTATTTCCTACTATAACCAAGGGGCAGTGAATAGCTGTCATTTTACACATATCT